TTTTTATGTCATCCAAAGTATTAAAATTTTTACCATTGAGATTATTGTGCAAGGACCTGTCAAATTAAAATCTGAAGAAGCAATGTCTGGTGAACATGTCACGTGGGGGTAACACATCCCAGTTAAGCTACAACAAGAAAAATGAGGTCTGACACTATCCTGATGGAAAACAACACCTTTTCTGTTCGCTAATTCTGTGTTTTTCTTGAGTTGCTGCCTTTAATTTGTCCAGTTGCAAGCAGTACTTTTCAGAATCAATTGACTGGTTACTTGGCAAAAGCTTATAATCCAGGATTCCTTTCCAATACCACTAAATGTACAGCATGACTTTCTTAGAATTAAGACCTCATTTTGAGGTGGCTAAAGTTTGCTCATGTTGCTTGCCCCAAGATCTTTTTCACTGAATATTGTTGCAAATGGTTCATTTTCATTGCATTTATACAGCAAATCACAGATGAAATGCAATCCAAAGGATTTTTTTTCACTCAGATAATGTGGTCCCAAACATCGTAGAGATTTGAATACCCATGCTTCACTAAGTGCTCAGGGATGATGGATTTTGGTAAATTTAGTGTTTCTGCCAATTCCTGCATTGTGTAATACGAGTTATTCCCAATCAATATCTTGATTTGGTCATCATCTGTAGTAGGGGGTCTGCCTCAGCATTCTTCATCAATAAGGCTACAATCATCAACTCTAAACTTAATAAACCACTTCTATACAGGTCTGTCAGCTAAAACACCTTCACCGTACACAGCACGTATCTTTTTTGTTGCTTGCAAGGCATTTTTGCTTTTACAGTATTGGAAAAAAAAAAAAAAAAAAAATCAAGTGTCTAAAATGTACCTTTCATTTTCATAGAGATGCAAAATTGTCATGAATTAAGTAATTTTAAACTTTCTTTCTCAAGAGATAGTTTGAAGAGTGTTCTAATCATAAATGTAAGCATATTATATCTGTTGATAAATTTAATGCATTCTAATATGTTGGAACATGAATGACTAAAAATTGGCATGAACTTTCCAGACAGCTCAATAATTGCTTTTACGAATAAAATATATTATGGTCATACAGTCTTAAGAAAAATTTTTATTTTAATGAATTTTTAAAACAATTGTTTCCATATTTTATAATTTTAATTAGAATTATTTATAAACTTTTAAATTCTATTTTAATCTATAGCAATCAAGTAATTATTATCAAATAAAAACTATATTTACTAATCAAAAATGGAAAAGCTCACTACAATTCAACAACCCTCCCAGTATTTTTAAAAACTTTTTTTTAACATCTCAATTTTTGTAAATACAGACATTCATATACAATATTATCAGAAAATAAAAGAGGTACTAAAATTTTAAATTTGATTTTTAAATAAGTGTCTTTGTAAGCAAGTACCTAAAATTCAATAAAATATTAGAATGCTTAAAACACTTAATTTTTAAGATTGCTGGATAGTTAAAAAAGGTCTATTAAAAAAATGTATATGTCATGTAATTTTTGTAGTTATTGTCGCCCTTACTTAAATTTCCCAAACATCAGATTATCAATAAATCATACAACACATCAAAAAACACACTCCATCTTGAAAAAGATGCTTTTCTGCAATATTTTAAATTAAAAGTAATATCTGTTCAATTCTGAATAATTACACTAAAAATATTTCAGAAAAGCATATTTTATTTTTGAAAGATTTTTCTTAAAAAGAATTATGCTGCATTGACAAATGTCAATATGGATGAATTTATCGATTTTACTGATAAGTAGAAAAATTCCAGTCAGTTTAAATTCCATTTGAAATACACCAAAATATTTTGCTTATTGGAAATATTAAATTTAATCTATTCATCATCATCAGTCCCTTGACTGCTTCAATCATCAGGGAGGCACCAAAGGGCAAAAAGAAACAACCTCACCCAGGATGATTTGTTGTCGGTGGCTCTTAGGAGTTCTGGCAGTCATTTCCATCCACTCTTTGATGCTGTCTGATCAGCTTTTGTGTTGCCATTCCCTCTTGTGTCTGCCTTCAACAGTGCCTTGCAGAGGCTGTTATACAGGGTAATACGGCCAAAGCATGACATCTTTCAACACTTAATAGTAGCGAGAAGAGATTCCTGTTGGAGACTTTTGGCTTTGCTCCATCCATAGTCATTGGATTTGTGCTCTCAATAGGATATGCAGAGGAGCTTTGTTAATCGCATGGATCCATTTTTCTGCAGGAATGTCCAAGTCTTGAGCCCGTGAGAGGAGCATGATCGACTAGCAATTTGTAGAGCTTGTTATAGAAGCTGATGTTGATCTTACATATTATTTCCAGTCTGGCCATCACTGCTGTGGTGATCCGTGTGCAGATTTCTGCATTGCAAGTGCCATCTTTGACAGGGGTTGCTATCAAGTATTTGAAGCTGGACACTTCCTTCAGTGGTTTGCTGTCCATGGTGACGCTTTGACACTGGTGTTGCTCATGCTATTTCCTATTACTTTGGATTTCTCTTGCAGACAGGTCTGCCACTGATAGAGATGTGATCATAGAGGGTTTCCTGCATAATTCTCTCCAGAAACAAGTTCAAGAGAGTAGGCATCCCTGTCTAACCTTAATCGATTAACTTGAAAAGTAAAACTAAAATTAAAGCTTCGCAAAGATATTTTTAATGCATATCCTTTTGGGAGGAGATGTACCTAATTTTTAAACAGTTTAAACTTTAATGTCCATGCTAAATATTTCAAATTTTATGCATTTTTATTCATCATAATCAGATTAATAATTTTTTTTTTTTTTGCAATATTTAAACGAAAAAAGTAGATTTTCAGAAAAAGTTTGTTGGAAAGAATATTAAAAAAAAAAAAAAAAAAAAATAATGAAAAGAAAACCGTCCGTTTGAAATTATTTCTAAAATTATAATTAATTTGATTCTAAAGAATTTTGTTATTGGCTTAAAGTTTAGTGCTATATACAATTACGTAACTTAACAGTAACACCAAGCCAAGCCAAGCCATTCATTTATTTACAATTTTACAAGACTGTCTTTGTTGAATGTTGAGTGACAAAAAACATCGAATAATCGAAGCTATTTGTGTTTTATTCTTCAAAATAACGCTAGAGACACAAAATGTAAAACAAACCTGCAACATATTAAAAAAAAAAAAATACGCAATTTGAAAACAAAATCTTTACACAAGATTAAAAAGCGATAATGTTTTCCAAGTTAACAAAATGTGGGAGGGAGGTAATGCATTTCATTCCGAAAATTAACAACATTAGGAAGAGCAATTGCTTGTGGGAGTGCGTGAAACTTCAAGTGTTGTCATCGAGACAGGCACAGGTTAGAAAAAGAAAGAAAAAAAAAAAAAAGCTCCTTTTAGATTTATGTTTATTTGAAATACACCATATATATATATATATATATATATATATATATATATATATATATATAAACAATGGGCATGCGCATAACACAAAACAAAAATTAAATAGAGCTGGAACCATGTCCAAAATTTGTTCAAGTCAAATAAAAGAAATCCAAGTCATTTAATTGTTTTAAATAATTCTTTGCCAACAAGAATCACACAAAAAAAAAAAAAAAAAAACAAACAAACAAAAAACTCCAAGTGGTTGTTATGGTTATGTATTTTATTTTTTAATTTAGCTATTTTTTCCTCTTCATAAAAAATAAAAATGCTTATTTCTTATTTAACAATTTTTTTATTTTTATCAACCAAAAATATGTATTTTTTTTTTATTTATTTTTTTGTAGATGACTAAGTCGCAAACCATTATTCTTTATTGCTCAGTCTGACCCGATTTATTTTAAAGATTTGTTTATCAACATAATCTTAAGAAAAACTTTTCAGCACCCGAATTCGTTTGTGTTACTCAAGCTTTAATTTTGGTTTTCTTTTTCATTAGAGTCGCCAATGTCAACGACAAGTGTTAATTCAACAAAATTTAGAAAAAAAACATCATTCTTCTTGTGTGTAGGGAATAAAAAGCGAATTCTTTTTATTTTTATTGTCGAAACAAAAACAATTTTTTCGGCAAATTTTATAGATAAAAAAAGTCAGTAATTAATAATGTTTTTCTCTTCGACGATTTTTGTTTGTGTACATTTTTTGCATTTATTTTTATCTCGTTTTTTATCGACATCAGCCATTTATTCATTTTCCTCATTTTTTGTTATGATCAGCAAGAAGTTTTCTATTCTAATTTATTCAAATCACGTCTATAGCATTTTTTTAAATGTTCATATTTTCTTGAAGCAGACTAGTTTAATTAATTTCCAGAGAAAGTTAAAATAGAAAGGTCAGACTTTTTTTTTTTTTAGTTAATTGCTAACAAAACAAAAAATGAATGCAGTTCTGCTTTTAGCTTCAATGTAAAAAAGTAAACAAAATTCCTTTTCAAAAGAAAAAAAATACACAAATATTTCATCAAATAATCCAGCCATTTTTGATCGCGTTGAAAATTGCTTCTTTTTTTACTTTCCTTTTTTTAGTGTTTTTTGTTTATCTTTAAATACCAAAATAATTTAACAATTTCTATTTCACTATTTAAAGTCTTTTAAAAAAAAAAATAAAATAAATAAAAATAAAATCAAACCTTTTCCTCTCGTCGTCAAATTCATTTCCAATTGCAACAGCCAGTGAAAATAGAAACATCAAACTAAAACATTATTTTGGAAGTATCTTTTTAACAATAAAACACAATTTCTCGTTGGTATTTTAAAATTCTATTACATAAAAAATAAAAAGTATATCCAATTCATCCATTTGACAACATTAGTTACATAATTGCGATAAAATAAAAACAAACAATGTCATTAAGTTTTTTTATAAATTCTAACGATTGAAAATAAATAAAACATTATTCAGAAAGAAGTCTAGATTTGAAATCGCTTTCTTTTCAATAAAACAAAAATATGCCTAAAAGGAGAGATGATGAAATTAAAAAAATAAAAAAAACTATCGACAAAGACAAGCAGCGGATCTGCCATTTCACTTACAATATTTTCCAGGTTCGACCAACATATATTATAGGGCAATTGCATCGTCTGTACGAGTTCCTTTTTAGATCCGTAGAGGGTGATATTCAACGTTAATAAATTTTTCATCTTTTGAGTAGCTATTGCTTCGATATCCTCCATTTTTTTTCTTTTATCTCTACAAAGACTTTTGAAAAATTTTAAACCAACTACAAACGGGGCAGAAGTAAACAGAAAAAGACGGCCATAACAGTGCTGCTTTCGTACACAACCGAATCACTTCCCTTTTTCAATTCAATACATGATAACAACAAACCTGACACTTGTAAAGAGTGCAGAAAAACATTGATCATTTTTACGCTTGAAATTACAGTAAAAACGATCGCTTATCAGAATTATATTCAGGTTAGAAATTCTTCTTTCAAACACAAAAGTTTTAGGTTTCTTTTCTTATTTATATTAAAAACACGTAGTTTTGTTATGATGTTTGTTTTTCTTCGTCAGTCCGCGGAGTGATCCACTTTAAGTGATCGAACTATTCACAGATATGACGTCACACTTAGGTGTTAATTTTTCTTTCCCCCCCCCAAATGGCGTCTTCAAAGAAGTTCATTAAATTTTAGAATTAACTTTATAAACCCAGAACTCTGTATTTTTCAAAATACTGCCTTAAAAAAAGTTTTGAAACTGTTGATCTGTATACGATATCTGTAGTTTAATTGCTGAGAAATAGATCAGAATAAAAATTCTTAGTTGCTTGTGCACTTCTCTACAAATATGTTGAAAAAAAGATTTTAACAAACATGGAAGAAAATTTAAGACATTAACTGATAATTAAAAGAAAATTGCCTAAGACCATAAATTCAAGAAGCAACTAGGTTGTTTAAAAAGAATAGAAATTGTGATGGGAGATTATATATATATATATATATATATATATATATATATATATATATATATATATATATATATATGGCAGCCATGTTACATCTAATAATATCCATTTTTAGGGAGTGGTCAGCATTAATTTCAGTTAGTCCAAAAGTCAAAGCACTAATCAAAACTACCAGGTGATGTTCTCTAATTAGTCTTCTGATCTAAGGTAGGTGAGGCTCACTAGCAATTTACCAGTAAGGCAAAGAAAACTGCCATCAAAATCACAAAATAATACTTAATTACTGTTGTAAAAATATTTTTAATGACCTAGAAAGTAGGATGAACCAACATATTGCAACATACTCTAAATTAAGTACAAGTTATCACCAATTAGATATGACTTTTTCAAAATTTCTATCTTCATTTCATTAGATTTGCCAACAGATAGATTTTTTTACCTTAACTGATTTTTAATTCAACACAAAGATGCTTGTTTTAGGCAGTGCATTTGTAGAAAAAAATTGTTGACTTTTGAGATTGATTCAATACTGCTTTATCAAAAGCATCCACAATACAATAATTATGTTACTACAGCCAATTTAAACAGACATCAGAAGCTGTAGAAACAAAATTAGATTTTTGTATTGATTTTTTTTAATTTTTTTTTTACTCATTTCATCTCACACAAGGCAGTAAAAGCCATTAAAACACAAGTGGTTACTGAGTGTAACAGAATAAAGAAAAAGAAACATTAAGGAGCAAGAACAATAGAAGAGTAATCAATAAAACAGTAGATAACAATTGACATTGCATTTAAATTTTTAGGATCAAAGTTAGCAAGAATGCATGGAGCTATAAGAGAGTCCCACAAGCAAGAAAAGAAACCGTTAGTATAGAACTTATAGTTACATCTAGAGAATTCAATTCTGAATTAACGAAACCTTGCCACTAATGTAATACTCATAAAGTCTAGGTACTATATTGAAGAGTTTATCCAAACAATTGCCATGAAAATATTTATAAAAAAAAGGCACAAAGAAGCTACATTGCGGAGATGGGACAGTGACTGAAGCTGAGACACCATGTCAGGACCAATAATGGTACTGATTTTTTGGATTTATATATCACACTTCCAAGCTGGCAATGAGAATAGCAATAACCTCCTGAGAGCTTGTTTTGAATACCAGAGATGGTTGAATAAATAAGTAGAAATAGGAATGGTGTAGTTGTCTTAGTGCAAAGACACAATTAAATAAGATTAATATTATTGTAGATTTTTAAAAAAAAAAAAAAGGTTTTAGAGAATCATTCAGAAGAGAGAGGGAGAGAGTGAGTTTCAGAAACAAAACAAAAAATTTCACTGAAATTAGCAGAAATTTTTAAAACATTTTCTTTCTTTTTTTTATGTATTTATTTTATCTTTTATTTTCTGTGACCATTATTTACCACAGGATATAAAAAAAAAAAAAAAAAAAATAATATAACCAAAGAAAAATGTCACCTTCCCCCCCCCCCATTATGATAGTTACATTTGCATACATATTTTATATGAAAAAATAAATAATACCTAAATGTTTGGGCTACACAGATACTGAGTTGTAATTATATGTACTTAAGTTGGTCAGGAATGGATAGAAGATGAAACAACATTGATGTAGTAACAAAGAAACATCTAATGAATTAATAAGCGCGAAAAGTAATAAACTAGTGAAGAAAATAATTTGCAAGGGTTAAGTTAACAAATGTTACTGCAAATTGTAAGAAATTACAATGTAACTAATTCATTAAATACAACAATCATAATTCAATAATGATTTTTCTTGGATATGATTATTTATCACACCTCTGTCTACTATTTACTTTTGGTAAGTATTTTCTTCTTGGCCAATATTTTAATTCTTCCTTTTGCCTACTGATAGAAATTAAGACATGCAATAAATGATAAATATATGATCATGTTATATTCAAATCAATAAATTATTGTTTATTAACAAAAAAGAAAATGATGAAAGCATTCATGAAATAAAATTAAAAAAGGCAAGCAATGAATATTCATGCAACCATATATTCTTTTTGAAATACGTAAGAATCAACGTTCAAAGTCATGTATTCAGCCTTCATGTTTTTTTGAGAATATAATCCAAATACTTAAATTCACATTGAAAAAGCAATTATTTAAAAATATTTCAACATTAAACAGAGTTCTATGTCAGCATTTTTCAAAAGACTAATTTTATATCTTGTATATAGGTTAATGCACTAAACAAAAGCAATTAAAATCTTAGAAATTACAAAGTATTAAAATTCTCAAGTTTTACACATTCACAAGTTCATGTATAAGTGCTGAAAACTTGTGATCAACTCTATAGAAAATTGCAGATATATCAAAAGAATAAAATTTGCATTAAAAGTTTTAATAAAGAAAAGAAATTTTTTTTTTTTTTATTATTTCTAGTCATGAAAATAAATGTTGGATATAGGGTAGCATAATGTTATCAACACAGAAAATAGAATTGGTGGTTCAATTTCAAATTTTGAAGGAGTCAGAATCCATTTCTTCATTTTTTCCCCCACTTATGGATGAAATAGCAGAGCAAACTGGTTCCTCTAGATCCTTGGGTGGCAATCAATGAGAAGGACAACTGAATTCAAAACCATGAAGATGATAACAGGAATTCATTTCATTATCTTTCCAAGTCATAGCAATTTACAGATATTAAAGAAAGGGAACCTGAGGAGAGCCATGACTGCCATATCACTTCAGGATATAGACATTTAAAAAAAATAAAAAATTGTATCAATTATGCAACCTAAATACTTGATATTTAACAGAAACATTTTCCCATTTGAAGTCACTAACGTCTGAATTTTAATGTCTGCAGAAAAAACTGGCAACGAGTAAGAGACAAATTCAGAAATATAATATTTTAAAATGGACAATTACATACATACAAAAAAAAAAAAAAAAACTACAAAAAAAACTGAAAATTGATTTGGGATATGTCTGCTTATATAGCATTGAAATCTAAACTAAATTTCATCAGAAATTACAAGTATTTTTTTTATTTGAATATAATGGAACCTACTGGTAATTAAATTAAAATAAAATACAATACTAAAAGAGTTCTGTTATGTTGTGACACAATGGGGCCCAGTTGTGATTAGAACACCAACAAATTCATTTGGGTTCAAAAAGATTTTGTTTGGCGTTTTATGGCCAACAGTAAAGTCTAAAAGTAAGATCTTCAAAGCATACACATGCTGTCCAGAAAATGGGAAGAGATTTTGGATCAAATGCCACTTGGCTGCAATGTAGGAAGTTCTCGTCATAGGATTATATAGGCAGAGTCACAAAATTGTCAGTTGCATACAACCTGTATAGGGTGGCAAGACATTGGTAAATTATGAGTCAGCCAGGAGGAGGGGTGACAAACAAGAGAGATGTAAAGTCAGAGCTCAATGGAATGGCTGAAAGGAAGATTTGGTCTGTTAATCTGTCATGAGAAGACATAAGTAGCAGTAAATATGTCCCAAGTGTGACCAACGTACCCACCAGACAATGCCAAGTGAATCTATGAAATATATATTAGAAACAGGATTTTGGTTTTTATTTCTCACCATGGTGTTATTTTCACTTTCTATTCCTTTCTTTAATGTACACAGTCTTTCCCAGTTCTTGTGTATATCAATAATCAACACAAACAAGAATCAAAACACAATGGTGATTTTTCCAGTTGGAGAAAGAGTGATTAAGGACAGCTGGCTGTGTGTTTAAAAAGCATCTAAAAAACCAAATATCAGAGATTGGCCTTTAAGATAAAATATATACTCTCGGGAATGAGTTTATAGTGGTAGATATAAAGTCACACACACACAAAAAAAAAAAAAAAAAAAAAAACACCTACTGTCATCTATAAAATGGTTGGCAGGAAAACTACAATTTTTTTTTTCTTTTAAATGTCCATCTAGTCAAGATAATGGCGTTGCTTACATTTTATTTTTTTTTAATTGTGGTACTTTATTTCCACTACTAGAATCTTTGAAATCCATGACCAGTGAAAGCAAAATAATCTAGTGTTTTAATTCATTAAATATTATGTGTGAGTTTTCTATATCTCTATTGCAGATTGTGGATTTTACAAGAGGTCAGAACAAGAGAGAAATGGAGCTCAAGTATCAATAGTAAGTCA